TTAGAATAGGAATTTCAAAAAGCAAGATAACTTTAAAATATACTGCAACAGTTAATACTTTACTAATGGTAATACGAGAATAAAAAATATTTCGCACAACCCACATATTACCATGCAGCTGCGCAATGGAAAACAGAGCATAAGATGCATGACTGAGGACTCCCACTGCCATGAATATAAAAGCCAAGTGAAGCATGAAAAGGAAGCTCCTTTACTAAGTTCCAGGAAGTCATTTTGAAAATAGAGGGAATTCCTTTTGTACACGCCAAAATTCAAGCATGCTTTTGAAGTTGGGAATTCTTGTACCATTCTTCAAATAAGGCAGCATTTAAATATGTGAGTAAAGCAAGGCACATGCTTGTACATACACATCATGCTTGGTTCATCTTGAAGATAGGATTCCTGGTGTCAGATCAAATCTATGTTGGGCTCTCCCATCTCCTCAAGTAAATTACATTCCACAAGTATCTTTGCAAAGTTTTCTGCCTCCTTCCATTCACTATTTCTCTACTCTCCTGCAGGGATGAATGCATGGCATGCAGCGCATGTGCAACTACATAGACCGCATTGTAGATGCTGTAGCTGTGGGCGGTCATGCTCGTTTCAAACACCGATGCAGGAAGACTCTCCAGCTTCTCCTCCCCAGTGCAGATGTCCTCAGCAGTCATCTCTGTGTTGTGACTGGGGAACATAAAGTTAAACGCCTGTTGCCAGAAGTCCACCAGAACCCATCATTCTTTTCCAAAGTAGGGTTCCTCATCTCAAGAAATTGATGGAATCCCAACACCTGCTCAGAATGAATGGCAAGGGATATTGAACCATGGATAAAATGCATATCCCAAGTTCTTTGAAAAGAGAGGATTGTGAAATCCACATCTGCTGTCATAATCCAGATTTTGGCCTTGCCTGGTATATTCTCGAAATGTGCCCAACTAAGGAAAAGTATTAGATTTATTATACAGTGAAATTCCCCATGAAAGATCACTGCACTGGCATTGCTTTCCATAGNCATAGCTGTGCTGATGGTTCTGTGTCCTCCTGACACAAGTTCACTCGCATCACTAGAATGAACAGTAACTTTTTTCATGAAGTCAATACAGATTCCGCTCATGGAAAACATGGAAATCACACTCCTCATCTATACTTCAGTTGCACTTCCTGTATTAAGGTAAATCAGCCCAATCCATGTCCACATGAAATGCAGAAGAATCTAGATAATACCTCTATATTGATAGTCACCGTATGGGAACATCCAATGGAAGAAGACAGCTTGGGAAGTTGTATTCATCCCCAAGGAATAGCTATATGCCAGCTCTGGAAAATGAGGTAAAACAGGACATCATAAGAGATGAGGTGGGTTGGGTGGGGTGCACTTTGTATTACATGGTTGAGACATTTCCCCATGTTGAATTGAAGAAGATGAACTCATGGGCTAATTTATCTGTGGGACTTCTGGTTGCAGTAGTGGCACCATTTTAATGTTCACGTCATGGTGGAAGCACACAATAGCTTCTCAATATGGGTGAACATAGCATATTGCAGGACCTGACAAATATTTAAGGATGTCCATGGAGAAGCAGAAATGGCAAGGGGTGCATAACCAAAACCTTCGTGGTTGAACATGACCAAATTTTTCTCTCCCTTTTGTGTGCACTCATGTTGGTGAAACATCAGGCATGAAACAGATTGAAGGTGACTTGCGCAAATGGGGGGATGGATTCTAGAGGATGCACTACAAGTGTGCTATATGTCTGCTGCGATGTTCATACATATTCAGTGGCTACGAGGGAAGCGAATAAACAACATGCATAATAAGTACAGTTCAATGATCAGCGAGTTTATCCACACAGCTGTGTGATATGCAAGGACACACAAAAACCTAAAAAAAAAAAAATAGACAAAACAAAACAAATCGCCAACCTAATCCAACCTTAAAACTAATTAGAGAGAAGAAAGGCTAACATGGAATGGCATGTTACATACAAGCAGAACAAAGTTGTATTCAGCAGATGAAACAGGAATTTCTCTGCTTTTAATCTTCATAGAGTACTCTGAATCCAGATTAATTCATAGTTTGAGCACCCCATGGGATCGGAGTCAAAGTATTTATGTTTATCTAAAGGCACACCAGTTTCAGTAGATCTACCCTAAGTATAACCACACATACCTTTAACCCATCTGCTTCTTCATTCTACACATATTATTATTCCCCAGTTCTTCCTCTTCTACATAATTACCCTTGTGAAGAGAGAATTCAATTGTACCAAGAAAGAAATATCATATCGAGAAGTATAAATAGTCCCACATTTTATGTGCATTTTTGAAATGAGAATTACATTGCCAGATAGGAAAAGCACAAACTTTAACCACAGAGTACATCTAGGTCTTGAAATGAGTTACATTCTGCTAGAATGAAGCAAATTCTCAAAAATTACAATTACATGTAACAGAACTCGCAAAGGAAATATTTAGACCTTCTTTCTCTTTACTCTGCTCTGCCCTGCTATGTTTCATTTTCCAGTGATCTACATTGCTTCCCTTATGATCCATGTGGTGTAGTGGTTAAGAGCATGGGACTGGGACTCAGACGACCTGGGTTCTAGTCCCTGCTCAGCCATGGAGCCAACTGGGTGACTTTGGGCCAGTCACAGACTTTCAGCCCAACCTACCTCACAGGGTTGTTGTTGTGAGGATAAGATGGAGGAGGAGATGTAAGCTGCCTTGAACCTTTTGTAGGAAAAAGGCAGGATATAAACCCAAAAATAAACAAACAAACAAACAAACAAACACTTCTGCTTAAAGGATGCTGCTCCTAGTATGCAATCCTGATAGTTTAATTATTATTCTAACACTCTGTCAAAATCCATTTGTGGTGCAAAGGCTAGCATTTATCTTGCACTGGGTGAGTTTTTCAGTGGCTTATACTAGCATGGGAATAAAGGAAGAATGCATTGCTCTGTTGTCTCAACACTCAGGCTAGAGTCGAAAAAGAAAAGCAAGGAGTGCCTTTCGATGCATGTTCAGGTAACAGACACAACTGACCTGTGGCAACTTGTAGATGGTCAGCACAGCTGCCATAGCAAGACAGTTGTTGGTGATTGGTCCCCCAATGACTGCTGCCAGATCGTTTTGGACATCACATTTGTATTTTGGGATTCTGCCTGGCATAGAAAGAAGTTGCATTGCGGCAGCAAAGGTATATTTTGGAGTGAAGCAGTTCGTGTAGATGTTGAAGCCAAGAGAGGCATTGGGCAGGAGCTGGGGATTGTCATTAATCTCCTTTACAGCAAAACCCAAGGCCAGGATATGTTGGTAGCTCTGAGTCAGTGGCCTGCAAAGAGGAGCTGAAAGAGTGCACCCATTCGAGAAGTGACGTGAGCATAAGGATGAGGGAAACTGATTTCCATTTTCCTTCATTTGCATACAAATAAATCTTAAGTTCTCCCTTGCAAACCTTTTCATATCATATTGGAAGGAACTTGAAATTCCTCATTCTCACCCACAAAATTTACTGCAACAGCTAAAAGGCCGGGTCACCCTAATATAGCATTCCTATGGCTGAACCTAGGTTCAAGCATATGGATGGGAAAGCCTGGGGACATTATAGACAAATTATTTGACACACCAGCCACATCAATTCAAACCATGAAATTATCCTTTCAGGAGGGAAGCATTCCAGTCATGAAGATATAGCAATGTCACCAGTGTGCAGCATAAATTGAGTGGTATTCTTAGATTAATCCTTCTATACCTACTACAGTCAAAATGACTGCTACATTCACTAACACCCAATGAGTGGAAAGGGATTGGACACCTAATGGCATAAAAGACTGATATCCTATCTATGCACGTGTCCATACAACAGAAGAAATAGGCTCGCTAGGATGTTGGCCTTCCTGTAAGTATCATCTGACGCAAGGGTTCCGTAGAGTTTTTCTATCCAGCCCCCTCTTACATGAGCTTTACAATCATGTCTTTGAAGGGATGTTTCCTTAGGGTTTCCTCCTCAGAAAAAAGGAATTGCTGAGGAATTATGCCTCCAATGAGGAGATCTCCTGCTTGATGGAATTTATGTTGAATGGGAAGAGACTCGCTCTGTAAACACTGAAAAGCTGAAATCTCACAAACACTGTTCGGAAGCAGTGCCACTTCCCCAAAGATGAATACCATATGCAAAGATCTTCCGACATGGAACCAGTTCATGAGTGTCTGCATTCTGCTAAGTGTGCCACCAAATCTGAAAGTTGGGACAGTAAATAATAATATGCAACAAACGTTCTGCTGGTTCTCCAGCTCTGGCAGGGGATATTTAAACAAATTGTAACCTTCACTTACAGTATTGCTAATGCCCACTGGAAACCTTTTGGAAGATGGAGAAGCCATGCAGCTATTGACAGCTAATGAGATAATTATGGAGGAAAGGTTGCCTACTCATAGTTGGATGTACTTTGAAAAGTTGCACAAGAATACTTATTTATCATGTATGTTCTGTTTTATTTTGATAAAGGTTGGTAATAAGGTGGGTAGTAGTGAAGGTTCATGATTTGCACATCTAAAACCCATCATTCTTAGATCATGCCACACCTGCCTCCATGTTATGAGCTACCTTCATGCATTTGTGTGCTGAAAATTCAGACTACAACACCAACACCCATAGAATGGACATGACATATATATGCTACCTATCCTATATATTGCATCAGATTCAATCATATGTGGGGTTTCTTCGAGCATTGTATTTGCTACAGATCCTGATGTTTCCAATAATCACATAAGCATTGGGATTGGTTTGGTTTTGTATGTAAAATGTCCTCTCCCCCTCCTCCCCCTCAGTGATGTCACTCTCTCAATATTTCATTTCTTTTTATTTTCACGATAGAAAGAACCAAGTTCCCCCCACATACATCTATTTTTTAAAAAATGGTCACACCATTTTCAATAAATGAAAGTTTCTACAAACATAAATATATGTTAATTAACAAGATGCTTCATGCTGCTGCAGCTTCATCTGCTTCTGCCTTTATTTCTTCTTGGGATGGATATGCAATAAGCAATGACCTCCAAGATGAGATTTTGTTCATTTGTTCCACTTTATTAGATGCTCCTTTTTGTTCAGATCTGGTCTCAAGATGATGAGATAGCATTTGGGGGAAAAGACAAACCCCAGGAGACCAGCACTGGAAGCCAGGATGGAGAAGACTTCAACTGCCACCATGTACTTCCCCTTGGTGCTCAGGTAGGTGGGAACAAAGGACACCCACATGCTGTAGAACAGCAACATGCTGATGGTGATGGACTAGGTCTCCTGGAAACTGTCCGGAAACTTCCTGGACAGGAAAGCCACGGTGAAACTCATAACGGCAAGGAAACCCATAAAACCAAGGACGCAATAAAACATAGTGTCTGACCCCTCGTTGCACTGAAGTACAATCCGGTCACTTATGGTGCGCAAGTCCAAATCTGGGAATGGGGGAGACATTGACAGCCAAAGTGTGCAAATGGCAGCTTGAATAAAGGAGCAGGATGGCAATGGAGGTGGCAAGCCTTTCTCCCATCCATTTCCTCATCTTAGATCCTGGCTTGGTGGCCATGAAGGCCAGAACCACAGTGATGGTTTTGGCCAGCATGCAGAAAACAGCCACCAAGAAGATGAGCCCAAAAGCAGTTTGTCGAAGGAGACAAGTCACCTTCCCAGGTTTTCCAATGAAGAGCAAAGCACAAAGGAAGGAGAGCAGGAGGGAGACAAGAAAGATGTAGGAGACATTTCGGTTGTTGGCTTTAATGATGGGTGTGTCATGGAACTTCATAAAGATGTGTAAGACCAAAATTGTGGTTACAGAAAGCAAAAGAGCCAATGTGGCCAAGGAGGTTCCCAAGGGTTCTTCAAACGATAGGAAAGTGATAAACTTAGGAATACATTTGTCCTCATTTTGGTTTGAATTATAACCCTCGGGACACTCAAAGCAAGTATCCATATCTGGAAAAGCAAACGTATATATCAGCAAGAACTATATATGGAAGTCATCCATCTCATCAAGTCTCAGTACTATGTAGAAGTCCAGGAGAGGTGCTGGCTTTAATCTTTTCCTCTATAAGTTGCAATAGAAGGATCTACATCTGTTCCTCTCTCAGGACAAAGACGACCAAGAATGCCTAACCATTACTGAAAGCTCCCTGTGTTCTGTGCTCAAACCTTTTTCCACACACCTATGCAAATCTCAGAAGAAAGAACGTTTTGGTTTGAATTAAACATCAGAGTGCCATGCTATCCCAGTTGCTAAGTGGGACTCTGCTTCCAACACAAAGGTCTTCACCTGAAGGCCTTTTCAAACAAGGGTAATTTAAGATCAGTTGCTGAAATATGCCAAGACAGTTTTCTGAGAGACTTTGCAAAAGGGCTCGCACCTGGACATGGGCTGCAATCATAGCAATAAAAAGGCTTCCCTTCCTTCTTTGATTTTCTAGAACCCGTGTGGCAGTTATCATTGCAGACAGAAGAGGGCTGTGTCTGTACAAACAGTGGAGGGAATAATCT